CTACTTGCCATGTACTGTTTCTTTTACTTTGTTGACTCGGCCATTTGTAACATCTGCAAAGGTTCAATCTGAAACAGGCTTTTTGGCCTGCTTTTTAGCCACATGTCTGCAATTTAGCATAAGTTTCTTGAAAGTACCCAAGGCTGATGACAGGTTAACAAAGACACATTATTATTGTATTGAATTCTAGCTGACTATGTACAACTCAGTTGTTATCAAAACATCAGTTGTTACTTTTAGTTGTTGTTACACACTTTTCCAAAAAGCAGCCATTCATTCTTGGCCTAGTCTAATGTTAGTGGTTTGATAAACAGATTCTTATTATACTTTCCCAGGCTACCACTTAAGATTTAAATGCAACCTTATTGATTATTGATTGTATACCAGCTTAAGCATGTATTGTTTATAAGTCACACTTTTCCTAGGTCCATCATTTGCACTAATCAGTGCAATCAATCAATCACTAGCCATATTCACAGCCTATGCTTTGGCAGCATTTGGTGTTGGGGCGCTTGAGCTGCAGGTGTTCTCCCCAGGCTGCCGTGGGGACAAGCATTAGTGGTGGTTGGGTCTTAGTGCCTGTGCTTCTACCTGCCTTTGACCTGGAGTGGGTCATTCCATCCCAGAGCTGGAAAAGTTACCCTTGTCCTTGCTGAACCAGCTGGGTCAGGTTCGGTTAGTGTTCTCATGTTACTGTGACTTCCTGTGTGACTTCAGACAAGTCACTTAAACAGTTCTATATCTCAGTTCTACATCTGTAAAAGGGAATAATAGCTCTGCCCTCCCTTATGGCATAAAATCCACTAATGATAGTAATGTGCCTAGATACGATGGTGATGAGAGCTATTATAGATAATATAGTATCAGAGAAAGAGAGAAAAAACAGTGAGAAACCTGTCCTATATAAAAGGAGGTAATGAAATGTTGGCTCCTAGTTAAAAGGTAACTTGGTGTGATTATTTATTACTCCAATCCTTGTTAATCATTAAAATGTGAAACTGCATTTTCCTCCCCTGAATACTATTTCTGATCTACCTGAGTATTCTTTCTAGCACTTGAAATGATACATTTGAACTGGCAACTTTAGTACTTTCCATTCTCAAACACCAGTATATTTTGCTGTTTTGAAATTTTACAAATGTATTTTGATTTGCTTGTACTGTATGCCCCATTTCTTTTGCCAAAATCCTTGTCTCCCCCAACTATTGTCAGTATAAACAAGTTGTCCAAAATCTGCCTGTCCCCTTTTCAAAAAGTACATTTCCTTAGAAGAAAAGTCTGTATAACAAAAATACCTCTTAGAACTGCAAGATGAAAATTCTCTGCACATTATTGTATCTCTGTGATATAAAAATGCAATGTTAGCATTATTGTAAATCCTCTTTTTAACCATCTTTTTCTTGGGCTTTTTTTTAATCAAATCAAGACGTGTCTCATTTTTAGTAAAGTTCTTAAATGATCACAATGGGTAGGATTTTCAAAAAGACCTCAGGGACTTCAGAGTGTTTGCTGCCTCTGAATAGAGCTGAGTGAAACGTTTTCAGTGCAAAGCAAATTGGCCAAAAAAGTGTAGTTTCAGTCCTATTGAAATCACTTACAAATTCAACTCCTAATTCACAGAAAAGCTTCAGTTGGGGGGAAAAAATGAGGCCAAATCATGACAGAAGAGGAGGAAGAGGTCATTGTTTTCCCTTCTTCACAATAGCTCTGTGGCTAGAGCATTTTGGCAGGATGTGGGAAATCTATATTTAGCTCCCCCCTCTGCCTGAAGGGATTTGAACCCACACCCCATCCTCTTGGGGGAGTACCTAACTACCAGATTGTAGGACATCCTGGGGCAGCAGGAGCTGTTGGTCTCTCCAATTGATAGCGTTATAATTAATGCAAGCAGTCACTGGAGCAGGGACTAGAACCTAGCTCTCCTGCTTCTCAGTCTTCAAATATTAACATTATTGTTTATAATTATATTGTATACATTTAGTCCTTTACATGAAATTAGGATTTGTTCCTACTATTTATAATTTCAGTTTTTTTGAAGAGGTGGCTTTTATACCACATAGAAGGGTTTGATGACTTTCCGCCCTCTATCTCCCTTTTAAAAGCAGCATTTGGTTTTCAATGTATTACCAACTTTGCTGACAAACCTATCATGCAAGTAGCTATGCGGCTGTCAGAACAATGATGTTTTGAAAGTTGTCTTTCATTCTCTTGTTATGAGACAGCTTGCACTTCACTTCATAGGTAGCTAGAGTGGAAATAATCTGGAGACCACACTGTGTGGAGACTGTCAATCTGAAAACATAGGGTGAAATCCTGGCCATGTTGAAGTCAACAGCAAAACACTCATTGACTCCAGTTTACGCCCCAGGGAATTATGTACTGAAAAATTCAAAATTACGCAAAATTAATTACATTGTTTAACAAATTAAATATAACAATATTTGAACTTTCTTTAGAAATGTATGCAGGTACTTGTGTGGTGGGGTGGGATGTGGTGTGGGGGGGGGTTCTGAAGGGGTGTGGGGGTGTTGTGTGGTTTCTGGGGAGGTGTGGGTATGGGAGTTTGTGCAGGTGGGGGGCATGTGGCAGCAGGGGCCACACCAACCCACAAACCCCATGCCCATTCCTCCCCTCCCCCCGCCTCCTGCAGGGAGAAGCTCCCCTTCCCACTCACCAGCTACACCCTGGGAAATTACACGATATTACATGATTATGTGTAGTCATACGTTTTATGTGCAAAATTACACGCATGCATAATTGCGTAATTCCCTGGGGTGTACACGGTTTAACTCAGTTTTCACCAACATTGACTGGGGTGAGGTCCCTAGCCTCTTCTGCATTTCTCAAACTTTGAAACCAGTACAAGGGAAACTGTTGGTTAGCCACTAGTACTTCCCAGACCACACCCACACAGAGATTAGTTACATAGAGGTAGCACGACAGTACCATAAAACAAAAGTACCTGATAGTGTAACAAGTGGAACCGTCTCATTTGTTGTCTTTTCTCCTGCATAGTGATTTTGCCTCACATTGGAAGTGCCACCTATGCTACTAGGAGCACCATGTCTGTGTTGGCTGTCAACAACCTCCTGGCTGGTTTGAAAGGGGAAAGCATGCCAAGTGAACTCCATTTATGAAGGAAAGCCAAACAACATCACCTGCTGAGCAAGGTCATAACTTCAAAGTAACCTGGAGAAACTTAGCAGATCCTGACCTGTTTAACCCTAAAGATCTATGTGTCTGTGTCATCCTGCAAATTAGAAAATAATAAACAAGGCTTGAATAACAAGAAACTCTTGTGGTGGTTATGTGGAAGCATGATGGTTATTGTGCAGTCCATAGCTGTTGAATGGAAGAGCTCCAGGTAAATGGAAATGAAGCATCCAGGAAAAATGCTCCCTTTTTTGGGTGCAGTGGGCCCATCCCCAAAAAACACACTGAGCATGATTAGTGGATGACTTCTGGTTTTAATTCAGCAAAACACTTAAAATTTTCATAACTTCAAGAGTGGCTGTTATGATCAGGGATCCTGGTTTTCTCTGCTTAAAAATTGCAAATTCTCTGATTAAAAACCCAAAATCCATAATAAAAATTAAAGGCCCCCCACAGCCCCCCCCAGCACTGCTGGTGTCCCGCACTCCCCCCTACAGCCTCCTCAGCCCTCCTGATGCCCCTTACTCCCCCACAACAGCTCCCCAGATGCAGACATGCAGACACACATGCACACACAGACACTGACACCCACCCCAGCAGGTAAGCGTGTAGGGGGAAAGGGCAGGCCAGGGCGGGGGAAAGGAAAGGTGCTAGGGGGGCAGATCAAGAAGGTGGGGAGCATGTCCCTGTACCCACTCCCAGGAGCAGGGCCAGGGGGTGAGGGCAGGGGTGCCACTCTGTGGGCCACATGTGCCGGCTGACTTAATGGGGGGGTTTGTGCACAGAGGCCGCCGCTGCAACTCTGCCACTGCACCCTGCGCTACCATCCCACAGCCACCTGCACAGCTTTGCGAGTAAGCAGCGCAATGTGCGGCAGTGGCAGTGCATTGGCGGCCACCGTGTGCGGGCCACTTACATGCTGCCTAGTCTTAAACCGTCACTGCTGGTTTAAGGAGCCACTTCAGTGGGCTGACCCACATCTTTTAAAATAAAGCATGTACTTGCTAATTTAATTAGCTGGATTGGTGTATGAGCCACCAGCTCTCTTTTGAGGATAGAAGTTAATTGTGTGTAAAGCACTTGCCCGTTAGCAGTGTGCACACCCAGTGCCCTCTTGTATTTGCCCAAGAAATTTGCAACACTAATAAAATCTAAAGGTATTTGTGATGTCTGAGGAGATACTCTCTTACATGCATTAGGGATGAGAATCCTTTACTGGTTTTGGTGCCTAAAGTAGACATGATTATTTCATAGACATCAGGGCTGGAAGGGACCTCGGAAGATCATCGAGTCCAGCCCCCCGCCCAAAGGGCAGGAAGTCAGCTGGGGTCATAGGATCCCAGCAAGATAAGCATCCAGTTTCATCTTGAAGGTGTTCAATGAAGGTGTTTGAACCACCTCTGGTGGCAGGCTGTTCCAGACCTTGGGGGCTTGGACAGTAAAGAAATTCTTCCTTATGTCCAGCCTGAAACAATCTTGAAGTAGTTTGTGACCATTCGACCTCGTCATCCCTTGGGGCGCTCTGGTGAACAAACGTTCCCCCAGATGCTGGTGGTCACCCCTGATAGACTTGTAGGTGGCCATCAGATCACCCCTGAGCCTGCGCTTTTTCAGGCTAAAGAGCCCCAGGGCTCTCAGCCTGTCATCGTAGGGTCTGCTTCCCTGACCTCTGATCATGCGCGTGGCTCTTCTCTGGACTCTCTCAAGCTTCTCCACATCCTTTTTGAATTGTGGAGCCCAAAACTGGACACAGTACTCCAGCTCCGGCCTCACTAAGGCCGAGTACAGGGGGAGAATGACGTCCCGGGATTTGCTTGAGAAGCATCTATGGATGCAAGCCAGCATTTTGGTCGCTTTACTAGCCGCCGCATCGCATTGCAGGCTCATGTTCATCTCGTGGTCAATGATGACCCCCAAGTCTCTTTCTTCCATAGTGCTAGCCAACATAGCACTGCTGAGCCTATAACGATGCTGCGGATTTTTTTTCCCAAGGTGGAGAACCTTGCATTTATCGGCGTTGAACACCATCAGATTCTCGCCCGCCCACTTGCTGAGCCTGTCCAGGTCAGCCTGGATAACCCACCTGTCTTCTGGTGTGGATGCTTTGCCCCAAAGTTTGGTGTCATCGGCGAACTTGGCCAGTCCGCTTCTGACTCCAGTGTCCACATCATTAATGAAGATGTTGAACAGTATGGGTCCAAGGACAGAGCCTTGGGGGACCCCACTGGTCACAGGACACCACGATGAGTGACTTCCATCGATTACTACCCTCTGGGTCCGACCCCGGAGCCAATTTTCCAGCCAGCGGATCGTGGAGGACCCAAGGCGACAATTGGCCAGTTTCTCCAAGAGGCGATCATGGGACACCAGATCGAAGGCTTTTTTGAAGTCAAGATATATGACATCAATCTCTTCTCCCTTGTCCAGGTGATAGGTCACCTGGTCGTAGAAGGAAATGAGATTGGTCAAGCAAGACCTACCCGCAACAAACCCGTGCTGGCTATCCCTTAAGATGTTGGCGTCGGCCAGTCCATTAAGGATGGCCTCTTTAATAAACTTTTCTAAGATCTTCCCCGGGATAGAAGTCAGGCTGATGGGCCTATAGTTAGCCGGATCCACTTTCCTCCCTTTCTTGAAGATAGGCACCACATTGGCCTTCTTCCAGTCTTCGGGCACTACACCAGAGCGCCAAGAGTTTTCAAAGATCCGTGCTAGAGGCTGGGCTATGATGCTCGCCAGCTCCTTGAGTACCCTGGGGTGAAGATTGTCAGGGCCAGCTGACTTGAAGGTATCCAGCTTCTCAAGATGTTCCTTCAGAAAGTCAGCATTAATGGAGGGCAGGGGATCACCCTCACCCGGACTTCCCGGCCCTGTAGCGGGCATGGGCGTCCCATGGGACTGATGAAAGACTGACGCAAAGTACCTATTTAATAGGTTAAAAGTATCCTCCTATTTTCTACTCTTCAGAAGAATAATAGTCCAAACCATCTCAAACCTCAAAGAAAAAATTGTGGTTGGTTTCAGTGTTGCTGGGAATCTGAGCATGTTCTGCCATGAATCTACTACTGATAGTTACAGCAGTGCTGGTATCCACTCAGAAAATGGTTTCTTTTCCCCCTCCAAACTGTGCAAGCATTTCTGGAAAACTAAAGTGATGCCATCAAATGCATGCACTGAAGTGACTTGCGCGTTGCTGACCGACTTGCCAGCTTTTCGGCGGATGGTGAAGGTGATCAGCTCGTGGTCGCTGTCACCCAGCTTCCCATCGATCACTAGGTCGCCGACTAGGTCATCCCCAGTAGCCAGTACCAGGTCGAGCAGCGCTTTGCCTCTTGTTGGCCCATAGACTTCGTGAGTCAGGTAGAGGTCATCCACGCACGAGAGGAAGCTCATTATGTTTTAAGCAAATGGACTGTGTGGCCAAATCACCAAAAAAATGCTTCTTCCACAGAAAAATTTGAAATTCCTGGTACAAAGTCCTGTGGTTTTAGAAGATACTTGCTATATATCTTCCTCGGGGGAGTCATGGATGGAAGAGAGAGACTAGAAGACAAGAACTCTCCAAAAGTGTCCTCTCCTCCCTTGGATGAATTCTTTGGCCATTTAATGACTGTTGGGGGAGCTTGAGTTGAAAATGAGCTTGGCATGAGCTGGAGTCATCAACAGCGGGTGCTTTAGTGCCTGCCTGTTGTTATTGAGCCTAGGTTCAGTTTTCCTGTCATCTGATCATCCTTGCAGCCACCTGTTGGGCCTGTATCATATTTGGTGGGGTTCCAGGGGGGAGGGGATAGTACCTACCTTGCCCAGCATGACAGTCAGAGTCAGCAGGACTGGAGCAGAAAGCTGGTCTCTGCAGACCCTATAGAGCATACAAAGGTCCTTGGCCATATGCTAAAGCGGGTAGAGTGCCCCAAGTATAGGGCAGGGGTTTGCCTCTTCACTTCTGTGAAACAGCCATGGGGCACTCAAGGAAGCTGCAACAAGGTACTTTGACTAGCTAAGTGCCAGGGAAGAGAAAGTTCTCCTATGGATTTCCCCTGGACTACAGGATAGTCTAAACAGCCAGCTGTGATGAGTTTGTTACTCTGTACAGGCAGCCAGGTGGAGTCTTTCCTGAAGTTGCTAGATGCAGACCAGAAGCAAGGACCACAAAAACACAAAACCAAACACATACTTCAAAACACAAAAACAGACTGGGATAAAAGTTTATCTGGCTGCCCTAACAGCACAATATTGATTCTCATCTATCCTGGGTGGGAAGACTCAAGAGGTGAGAGGAGGGTGGCATGCAGATTGGCAGCAGGTTGTCTTGAATTTGCCAAGTTCTCCAAATTTCCCTTCGGTTTATACCCCGTGTTTATAGATGGCTGGTTCTAATATTTTAATAAATGACCTCTGGCTGGTTTTATTTCAATTTCTTTGTTTCACTGAAACCTTTGGAACAGGACTAAACTAGTTTTTCTGTGGATGCGAAGAGTGTCAATTAGCCTGGATTTATGTTTCTGTGGAAATTAAAATTCTTGAGAAGGATTATTACCTCTTTCCTTCACCATTATGGATCCTGTTTGCCTTCCTCCTGTTTTTCTCTTCTTCAAAATGTATGGTCTTTCATAAACAAAGCTGCTTTGTTTTTTGTTTCTTTTCTTTTTTACAACATATCTAGAAACTTAACAGAAATATATCTATTATAACAAAACAGCATTTAATACATTTGGTTACATCAATTGCTAGAAACTGAAGCTATGGTATAGTATATTTGGATTATTTAATGTATGGTTTTTCCCTTACAATGTGTGCTTTCCGGCTTGGTGCTCTGTTGAATTCTATCTCATTACTGGCTTAGTTAGACATGTGGATGGCTTCCTTTACTTTGCTGGCCAGGTTAGTTGTCATGTCTGCAAAGGTCTACTCTAAGGTCACTCAGAAATAGGTTTGGGGCTTAGCCACGCTTTTGCAACTTGGCCTAGGCCCCTTGAAAATGGCCAAGGCTGGCAACAACTCCTGCCCTTCCCTGGTGGTTCTGGTTGTTTCGTAGCTGGTTTCAAAAAGGCAGTGGTTTCCAACCTTTTTAAGTAAGAGATCACCTTTGACATTTAACCGTGCACTGCTGCCACCCCCCTTCCCCCCCCAACCCCC